GTCCTGCTGCTGCTGCAGCTCCTGCTGCTCCAGCTGCTGCAGCAGCAGCAGCAGCTGCTGCTGCTGACGACATGCTGCTGTTTTTTCATGGCGGTCTATGCGGGAGCGACCAGCTGCTGGCATCGAGTCTTTCTTTTCCTTCAAACATTAAGCATTTGCTGCTGATGAATAGACAGGGTTATCTCCGTTCTTCTTCTCCTTCTCTATGGGCAGAGCAGCAGCAGCAGCAGCAGCAGCAGCTGCTGCTGCAGCAGCCTTCCAGGCTCAGGCGGGGGCGGTCTGCTGCTGCTGACAAAAATCTGCTGTATAGACACCGCATGCGCCGCCAGGCAGCGCTCTTCAACGGCGTAGTCAGACACGTGCAGCAGCAGCAGCAGCAGGAGCAGCAGGAGCAGCAGCAGCAGCAGCAAGGTCTGCATCTGCTGGGGGTAGGTGTAGGCTGCGCGCATGCAATAGCTTATGCTTATTTTTTTCCTCAGGGCGTGCGCAGCATCTCTTTGTTAGACCCCGTGCTGCAGCTGCATGCATCTGCTGCTGCTGCTGCTGCTGCTGGCCCCCTGGAGCTGCATGTGCTGCGGCGTGTTGGGGTGTATAGGCACCTCATCCATCGGCTGCTGCCGCAGACAGCAGCCAGAGTTCGTATGCCGACCCCCAAGGTTTCAGGTCTTGAGTTTGCTGCTGCAGCAGCAGCAAAATATTTCCCTGCTGCTGCTGTCTTCTTGCTGCTGCATGCAGCAGCAACAGACACAACTGCTGCTGCAGATACACCCACACTCCAGCAACTCCTGCATGCAATGCAGCAACACCCGTCGGTGCTGCAGCAGCTGCAGCAACTGCAGCAGCAGCAGCAGCAGCAGCAAACTAACAGCACTCCCTCCACAACACAAGACGCTTCGATGCCTGACAACCAGCAGCAGCAGCAGCAGCAGCAACAGCAGCAGCTGCAGCAGCAGCTGTATCGGCAGTTGCTGCTGCAACTGCAGCACATGAATGGCTGCTGCTGCATATCTCATCGTCTTGAGGGTTTTATTGAAGACTGTTTGCTGCTGTGGGGAGAAGCAAAAGATTCATCTGCTGCTGCTGCTGCTGCTGCTGCTGCTCCTGCTGCTGCTGCTGCTGCTGCTTGGCTGGCGGAGTGTTTTGCGGGGCTGCAAGTCCCGAGGCTAATAATGCATGCAACCAGCAGCAGCAGCAGCAGCAGCAGCAGCAGCAGCAGCAGC